TTAGTAATGCTGAAGGAACTGTATGTATGTCCAATCCATTCTAATGACTATTTGAAGAGCAAACAAGGTGTCAAAACTTCTGTGAAATGAGATGAGATATTATGAAGAAAATGTGGACTAAACCAACACAAACAAGGTGTCAAAACTTCTGTGAAAAGGCATGAGATATTATGAAGAAAATGTGGACTAAACCAACTGTCTTCTATTCTTTTGTGAATAAAACTAAGCATGAAACAACTCCATTAAGCACATGAGCAGCAGAAAACACAGAATCGTTCTCAGAAACTATTCAGACAACAAAGGCATATTAAAAGAATATTATGGGCTTGAATTTCTAACTGTATACGATATTTAGTACAAGCTAATAACACCAAGTTAATATGGTATCAAGTGTGAGTGCAAAAATATCTAGTGCAATGTCACTAACAATTGTCGTTAAAAAAAAAAAACATATATATAATTTATATCCTGGTAGCAAAATGTCTACATAGATAAAAAAGAATTTCCGCAGGAATATAATAAAAAAGGAAAATATATAGAAAGAAGAAAAAGCAGAGAAGAAAAGATATCAAAGGCTCCACGTTCATTAAAAGTCATGAAGCAACAAGTTATTGTTTAGGTTGGAGGCAGTAATTATCCCACCAAATACACTCATAAAACAGTGTTTTGCGCATGGGGACAAAGAAGAAAAACTGGGAGAGACAATAAAGATGGCTACATCACCACCACACACAACATCATTAACTAATGCCTGTCTCTTTATGACACATTCTGTGATCACTGTCATAGTTGGTTAAACATTTGCTAAACATCAGCTGATGTATCTGTTTCAAACGAAAGGGGAAAGAAATGACTACAATTGAATCCCTTGTGAAATCAATCTTACATAGATTTTCTCTGGTATCTTGTTTGCCTCAAATTACCAGGCCTTTCTGTGCTTTATAAATGGTTCATACTTAGTTTAGCACTGCTTTTATAAACTGTTATTTCGGCAAAGGAGAAGAGGTTTATTAAGAATGAAGATTTATGGTTCCAGTCACATCATAAATTGGATGCATGTCCTGTTTCTTAATCATCTATATATAATCAACTATGTGAGAGAAAATTTAATTTTCTCGAGGTAATTATTCCAACATCACAGACAAAATTGAAAAAAAAAACAACAACTTTGAAACAAACCAATTACCAGCAGCATTAATCATGTAAAGAATATCAGTCGATAACCAAGCAAAGAAATGTTACCAGAATAAGTGAATGATTAGTAGAGGCTATGGTTATGGAGGACATCAATCAATGCACCAATCAATCTGTGATATTTAGTGACGGGCTATAAAACCTGGTTGAGGTTTCACTGCAGCCACAGCCTGGCCGATCCACAAGTGATGTGCCGCATTAAATGACTAGATGCTAACGGAGGATGAGTGATAAATTTCACTTTCAGCCACGTTGTGAGGATAAAGCAGTGCATTTCCATGGCTCATCAATATAAATTAAATTAAGTATTTTTAGACTTCGGGTTAATTGCTTGGGCACGTGGAAAAGACTAGCCTGTGGAACCAGCTACGTTTAGTCACCCTGCAGATGACCAGTAATTGATTACCTGTCTGTCTAATTGATAATAAGAACCACGTGATTAATCAGTGTTTGTCCTTTGATAAAAGGTTATGAAAATTGTACTTTTGGTGGAGACTGTGCACGTTTGTTATCTTCATTATAATATAGATACATGTTCATCTAAATAAAAATATCCTTTAACACCGACTGTTTCTTACTGGTCGGTGCTGACTTTTGACTTGGAGTCAAGTGAATGACTGAGGTCTACACTTTGTGCAAATCAGTCAAAAGAAAATCTATGCATTGTGGATACAAGGCTTAAAACAAAACAACAAAGTTCAACTTAGAATGACAGAATGCTCCAACAGGTGGCGCCTCAAGCGCACTCAGATAACTACATTATTTCCAAATGTTTATTGAACCTCTGATGCACCCTTGTCCGTGTGCTGCTACTGCCTTCACCAGAAGCAAATGTGTTATTTTGCTGCTAGCAAGAAAACCTATCAGCTTTACTCACTTCTGGCTCCCCTCCCACCCACTGGGGGGCAGCGCCAAAGAAAAAGAAAGAACCAACAAGGCTAATAGACTCAGTCATAAATATAAGTGAAGATCAGGCCTGGTGTGTAATATTTGAACCTATATGCCAACAAGAAAAAAATTCACTTTGACGTGGGTCATCTTGTTTCATTAACAAAATGAAAAAAAAACCCATAATATAAAAATCACGTACATGTGAAATGCATGACCTGTAGGTTTAAAGTCAGCATGTAGAATCTAGTTGCTTTATATCTTCACTTGGTACTCTGAAAGTGATGGGAGGTAATCTTTAAGGATGGAAGCTGCAAGGTGTTAAAAAAAAAAAAATCCAGTTACTCATCACTTTAGGAAAGACGTGTGCACTCACCCCAACTTTACTGTAAGCCTGTTGCTACTGCTGCCACCTTTTGGTAATACCTGTGGATTTTTTTTTTTTTTTTGCATTAATAAATGCTGTTACTGCTGATGTCTGCAGTTACTCAAGACATCATGGGGTTTGATATTTGCTTAATATCATCATGAATATTTCTAAAATCAATATCCCTGGAACACTAATAAATCATTTGCTCCTGAAACACCCCTCCTTACTTTCACTAAAGAAATCTATGATTAGGTTCATAATAAAGCTGATTTGGGAGGGGGGGGGGCAGTTATATGCTCTGGGGTAAAGAGTTGCTCTGACTCTGACATTGCTGGATGCAACGGAATAAAGGAGGAGTTGAAGAGACGCTGTGGAATGTGTGTGTGTTTTTTCCTTGCACTCAACTACATGTGTGTGATTTCGTATGTTTGGTGAGTAAATTAAGCCCCTGGAGCTACGGAACAAATTTGACAGATGAAAGGGAGAGAGGGAGCAAAGAGAGTGAAGATGAGAGCAAAGAGGGAAGAGCAGAGCAGAGGGTAGGAAAAAAAAGAGAGAGAGGCAGGGGACAGAAGATGGCATGACAAGACAGGTGGAGTTAAGCAGAGCAAAGCGGTGGGGAGGAGAAGAGATGAAACCGATAAGGGATCAGGGGTGAGATGAAGAGCACAAAGATATAAAGCATTTTATTTTTCAAAATCGAGTAAAGACAGAATCCTATTTTGAAAAACATTATAGACGCCTTTACCCTTTGGGGTACTGAGGCAAAATAAAACATGCCTGATGCCCAGACAGCATTGTCAAAGGAATCAGGGGTTTTAAAAACCCAAATGATGCCATTACTGCAGGAAAAGCCTTACTGTGAGATAAACATTTTTATCCAGCTACAGCAGCATGACCATCTATTATGGCCTATTTCATTACTTAACCTTCAAGATGAGTTTTGAAGAATAGAACTGCAGGTCCATACAATAATTGGTTACTTGCCAATGGCCACTTGAGTAGAATCATTTACGATTCACAGCCAAAAATGTTGGCTTCAGCCTTATTTTAATTTTCAAGCCTCTTCTTTTTCAAGGTGCTGGTTTCACATACTGACAGCATGGCGGATTAAATCAAACAATGTATGTCGTATAAAAGGTATCTGATTTTAACTTGGCCAATTGTGTTCACTGCCCTGTTTGTCAATATTCCTCATCTTTGACAGACCTATCATTCCAACCCAACAACAAACTCTCACACAAGACTTGTACAAGAACAAGTGGTAGATCACTGCAGTTTATAACTGTCCAAAGCCAGGTGTCCAGACGGCCCCATGCAGCGTTGATTTATTTAAACACTGTAGAAGTCCATGGTGATTCTGCCTGGTCTGCCTCCACATGATCTTCTCACAATGAAGACGATGCAGATTTTCACAGTGATAGATGGTCATGGACAGCCTACACCAAACACTACTTCTCTAGGTTTCTGATGGCTTCTTCTCTTCTCTTTCCACCTCTAAGGACCTAATGTCATCTAATATCTCTGTGAATTGTATGCAAAAATTGATCTGGCCAGAGCAATATTTACAGATACTTTGATATATATGGCAAAAATATACACAAAGGTCTCTTAATTTGCTCTTTCTTAAGTGGACCTTAGCTTTCTTTTGGTCACACAACTCTTCAGCAAAAATCATAGTCCAAACTTATGATCCATCAACATGCATCACAACCTTTTTTTTTTTTTTCAACTGGACACAGTCATGGGTGTGTTTCTGAAAATGATGAGAGAAACATTGGGGAGAACAGTGGAAAACTGAAGACCACCGTCCTGTTGATGGTCTGAAAGTATGATTTTAACATAAGCCCCATAAATGTGGGTCTAAGAGGCGTCTCAGTGCAAGCAATTGATAAAGATTAAGATTTGGGGGAGAAAAAATGCTGCGTAAGTGTAGGGTCTTCTCACTATTTAAAAACTCTCTCTCTCCCTCTCTCTCTGCGTCTCACACACGTACACACTTTGGTATAAACAGCTCACGTTCACTGCCACAGCCCGAGAGCTACCGCAAGAATATTTATTTGCTACCAGCTCAATGGCTGTATTGAAGAAAGAGAGAGAGAGAGAGAGAGAGAGAGAGAGGTAGAGAGAGGAACAGGGAGAAGGAATGAGAATGGCAGGGAGGAAGGTATAGAGTGAGAGAATGAGAGAAGGGGGAAGAGAGAGAAAGAGAGAGAAAAAGAGATGAGGGGGGTTAAAAAAACAGGGAGAGGAGATAGGCTGTTACTGATTTCATCCCTCTCTAATTTTTCCCTCCATCCTCCTCTTTTCAGACAGTTTCAATCTCTCCGCAACACCACACACACACACACACACACACACAGAGAGAGAGAGAGAGAGAGTTCCACCACCTTATTTAAGACTGCAGTAAACGCACTCTCACTCACAGACTTATCCAATTATGGTGACTTTGTCTGAGGGCGCCCCTCGTGAATGCGCGTGAAAGCCTGTGAATAAGTGTCGCATCTCCCCACCACCTCCTCCTCCTCCTCCTCCACCACCTTCTTACCTTGCGCTCTTTCCGACAGTGAACAGAGGAGCACCAGACTCCAGAGAAAACAGCGCAGCATCATCGTAATCACCCCCGTCCTTCCCCGCTCCGTCATCCTTCCCTTAGTCCCTCTCATCCTCATCATCTCCATCCTCCGCGTCCTCGTCACCATCGTTCTCCTCTTCCTCTTGATCTTCGTCTTGGTCGTGGTCTTGCTCGTCGTCGTTGCACCCCTCTTCATCCTCCTCGTTGGCGACGAGGGGTGCGCAAAGGAGCCGCTGCTGGCGGAATGTGCGGCGTCAGTGCATCTTTTGCGAACCGCCGAGCGCGAGCCCTCTGAGCTCTCACCGGGCCGCATGCTGTTTCACATCCAGAAAGCCGGAGGAGAGAGGGATTGAGAGGGGGAGAAATGGAGAGAGAGAGTGAGAAAGTGAGAGAGTGGGATAGAGAGAGAGAGAGAAAGAGAGATAGAAAGAGGAGAGAGAGAGAGAGGAGGAAGAGAGACGCGGGCGTTTTAGTCCTTCCCTCCTTCTTCTTCTGCTTCTTCTAAGATAGAACAGATAAATCCTTCATGTCCAACCCAAAAACACAATCTTTCAGTCATCTTCCAAAGAAAGGTGGAGAAACGCACAGATGGACGGAGCGGACAGACACACGGGGTTGTCTTAAAATCCACTCTGCGCTGGAGTCTTTTGGGCAATTCTTGCAGTCAAAAATCACTCTCACTATTCCGTCCCGTTCCTTAGAAGAGTAGAGGAGTGACTGAGAGGCACGACAGAGCTTCAGAGCCCCGCTTCCCCCGGACAGCATCCCTTCATCATTCTGAAATATCTCCTCTGTTTTGTTGAGCCCTGCGGGGTTTTCGGTCCTTTTATGGGTCTCCTCCTTTGCCAGTTCTGTCAAATGTAAGTCTCCTCTCCTCTGCGTATCTCTCTACCTGACTGTCTACGGTTGTCTTCCCATTGACGTGGAATGATCAATTTACTTTTGACTGGAAACGCATCCAAAGCGCACGCATGCCTTCTGACTTGTGCGTCTCTCGGAGCTCCACTGCGTCTTCTCACATCCGCGAGGGGAATGTTGAATCTCCATCTCTCCGGGAGGAAAATACAGAATTCATGGTTTCCTTCATTTACCTTCTTGACATATATATATATTTATCTATGCATATAAATAAAATCAGAGTTATTTAAGTCATTTGGAGTTTCCGAACCAAACCGGAGGAAATAAAGCAGGGCTGACTGCTGCTGACTCCGAGTCCAGTTTTCCCCCTTTTTACTTCTCAGTGCAGGTCCGGTATAGAAGAAAAAAAAAGGATGATGTGAAAATCTCCTGTTGTCAGAAATGAGGAGAGACACGTCCTTCCTCAGCTCTTTCCTCTCTCAGTGTGTGTGCAGCGGTTTGAGCGTCTCACCCTCCCTCTCTCCGGTGCACACAGATGCTGTCTTTTTTTTTTTTTTTTTCCACGGCTGCTGCTGCTGAGCTGCCAGCTTCCATTCACGTGTATGTGTTAGCAAATAAAAGCCCCGACACGGACTCGTTTGAAAAGTGGGTTCCTGGGGGTCCAGCGATTGTTCGTGCATCAGTGTCAAATGCACAATAATGAAAACATTTGATTGGTCCCAAAAAAGGGAACCCGTGGTGGAGGGGGTGGTGAACAGTGTGTAACGATTACTGCCACCATTAACGACTCACCTGTCACTGATCATTGGTTCACTTGTGCTCTGGAATAAAAATCAATAAGCAAGAAGAGATTCAGACGTGAGTGGAGACCAATGACACTTGTGGATCATATTGGTCCAGTAAAGTGGTTCTCTTCCTGATGGTACTTATATATATCAAATGCCTGAGAGTTGCGCAATTCACCTGTAAATATCACTGCAAACTGGTTGAAAAATAGAAATTCAATCAACACAAGCGATGGGCTAATGTGAGCACAATAAAACCAATAGAGAGATGCAAATATATTAAAATATGCTGCTCATCTAATTGCTTTATTCAGCAGCTCAATAATACAAAAGAATGTTTAAACTCTGGCCCGTGGGCATGGCCTGCAGCCACTTTTTGTGGCACAAATAAAGTGTAGTCCACAATTGGTGCACATTTTTACCTTCTTTTTTATCTAATGTTTTTAGTGAGAATGTGATCCATCCATCTTCAAGGACATCCAGTTTCCTTAATCAACTTAAATCTGTCCTGGGCTAAATAACTGGATATTTAAGAGCCAATAATTAGGTGTTGCAGCTTAGTTTTTCAGCATTAATGTTGAGGGTTCAAAAAACACTTTCTAGACATTAGTAACACTTTACAAGTGTTGCAAATCCAGGAAATTGCCACAATTATGTGTTAACTCTACTATTCAGGAGTTGTAAAACTAATCAATTGGAGTTGAGGTTTCAGATAAAGTTCAGAAATACGGAGCACATAGCGCCACATCTTTTTAGGAAACAATAACACCTTGGATAAATGACGGGAAAAAAATATATGGCCCTACCTTCATTCACAACACACCTCAAAATAGTAACACTTATGAGTCTCACTCAACACCAGAAACAATCGATAAGTAGCTCCTGACTTTGATTACACATCGTGTTTCTAAAAGTAGATCTCCTCAAAGTTCAACTCTAAACAGAGTTTAAGTTCAGATGAATAAATATAAATAAAAAAATAAAAAAACAACAACCTGCAAATAAAAGATGTCGTACAAATATCCATAACACTGGATGCTTTCAAACTCCCCGACACGCAAAAAAATACCGCTTGCCATAAGAGTCACAATGTTTCATCAGCTACTTTGCTGGTTCATGCAAGTGCAGCTTGAAGTAGTACAGCAAAACTTAGACGTGAAATAGTGGCTATTGCATTTTAGTCACCGACAGAAGTCTCAACTATGCTGCTTCTAGCTACGACACCACCACTCGCCGTTTTTTTGTTCTTTCAAAATAGAGTCCTATTTTGGAATTTTGTCACACAGTCGAACACAGACTATTCCGCTCTGTGCACGGGTGGTAATTTGACAGAGTGACAAAGGCAAATTCTAACGTAATAGCAACCTTGTGCTTGTGACATGAGACGGCTACAGAAGTGTATAATGTGCTGAAACGGCAAGAAACATGTATGAAAAAAATAAGATACATTCAGACTTTTGTCAGCATGAGCGCTTTTGCCCCCCAGCAAAACCTGATGTTCCATCAACATGTTTTTTTTTAAAGAAATTAAATAAATAATAAACACAGCTTGGTTTCACGTGAAGGACGCATAAAAAAAAATTAAATAAATAATAAACACTTACAGCTTGGTTTCACGTGAAGGACGCATCATAAAAATAAAGTCATATTGTGTCTGATCAGGAACAGAATGGCAGCAGAAAAAACATGCCAAAAAAAAAAAGTCAGCTTATCTGTCAAACCTTAAGGAAAAAAGCTGATCTGAGGGCAGTTTATTCCCCAAACCCAGCATCCAAACCCCCTGTAGGTGCAGCAACAGGATCTCTACAATGCAGCTTTAATATTTATGAATTTCAGCATTGGAACTGTGCAACTTGTACATCATCACACGATATCTCATGAGTAAAAATTAAAGAAGGCCAGATTCTGTTCTCCTTACATTTCACTATAGGCTCAGTTACACCGAATAAACTGCCAGGATATTTTTTTTAAACAAAGATCTTTTTTTTTCTTTTCTAAACCCTCAGAGGGACTCAGCCCATCTGTGACCATCCGTTTCTTGCTGTATGGCATGTGGTTTTGCTCCAAGGTTATGAACACGCCGTGTTCTGACTCGAGATAAAGTTGAGTCCTTGATCTAAAGGCCACTTGACTTGAGAGAGCTGGGCAGCTGGTGGGTATAGAGTCTAGAGAAAATCCAGCTAAGTCCTGGATGAAAACAGTCACAGGTTTGCTGTATAAAATACTACAACGTAAGATTATAAATTGGTCATATTAGGCTAATAAAGCATCTTCCTCTGCTTTCTGTCTTACTGTGTTTTTCGTTCTTATCTAATTCTTTATTCTCGGTTTAATGATTCCATGTATAACTGAGGTGAGCAAATAAAGAGAATTCTTAATTAAAGGAAGAACTGAGGTGCAGCGGGGGGTTAGAATGTGGCTAACTGTCACAATGAAACCCAAGGGGGAAAATGCACAAACCTAATTCTGAAAACAGTTTTAGAAACTGGTCTCAAATTAGAGTCATAATATCAAATTACATTCGGGCCTCCTGAATTTTTAAACATTCATTCTGGGTTTTACTGGCACTTGAATGAAGACCATAAATCTGAAAAAAGGCTATAAATGAGGTGCACGTCCTTTGTCTAACCTGCAGGGGGAGGCTACACAAGAATAGTTTTTTAAGCTCATGAGTGAAGTTGCTGTACAAGAATACAAGAAACCATCCACTGGATACAAAAGGTAAACGTAGACCAAAAAGACAAGCTGAAGAGTATAACCACCTATACCACCTCTCTGTGAGAACACTGAACGTCTGTGGAACAGCACACCAACAATATTATGACACATCTGTAATTCAATTAAATGCGAATCAGCGCATGAACTCCAACATGTCCTCTCCAAACAGTGCAAACTGTATTAAATTTTAACAAAAAAGCGCCCACATCTTTAGAGATGACTATATATAAATATTTCAACTAGTTTCAAAAAACGACAGAATAAAAACATGAGCAGGTGAAGATAAATTCTGAGACTGCTTCACAGGAACTAATAAACCCTAATTATTTTCCCTCTTTCTTCTTCTTTCCTAGTGCGTTCTTGTCAGAATGTGTGTGTGTGTTTGTTCAAACTGCTCCCACTCCTTCCGTTAAAGCACTCTTCTGCCATCTACAGGCACATATTTTCTTCCTTCTTTTTTTCTCCCCTCACTCTCCCCTCATCTCTAACTTAACGTTAATCATCCTGGCATTGGCTAAAAATTCGGTGCACGTCTGATGTCTATGAGTGTGTGCTGCACTGGTACAGTACGTACTGTCCATATGCTTGTACCTGCCTGTGTCTCAAATCCTCTGTGTGCAGATTTGTGGGGCCCTACATCAGCCCGTATGCCTGCATGCTCCTGCAGGAAATCAATAAGCCATGTGTGAGGTTCCTGTCCTTAGAGATATAGAATGGGAAAAGGAGGATGAGGAGGAGCGGGTGGAAGGAGAGAAAAGAATCAGAGCTAAATAGGAGAGGCTGTGAGCGAGGAGAGAAGAGAGGAAAGCATAACTAGAGGAATATGAGTTACAAAAAAAAAAAAAGAAAAAGAGATGGCCTGGTGAGACAGAGTGTAGGAATAAGAAAAAAGGAAGTAAGTGAGTGAGGAGGATGGAGGAGAAAAATATGCAGTGCATGGTGTAATACAGGCAGGTTGAAGATTTGTAGATAAGGAAGGTAGAAAAAAAGGGAGGGGAAAGCAAAAAAGATGGGAGTACTGCCTTGAAATCTATGTTAGAGAAGGGGGATAAATAAAGGGGGATTGTTAGACTGGACAGATTTGCATGAGTAATACCCTTCACTCACTCGTACTATTGTATTGGCTCCAAAAACCGACATCATGAACAGGGAGAGGTAATGTATTCTAGCATGCCCTAGAAACCAAGAGAAACCAAAGATTCATATTTTTTACTTTACCACGTTTTATATACGGTGCAGGTGAGGGCATTAAAGTCATGTTCAAAGCAACCCTGTAGACATACCAGAACCTTTTCATCGTGTCCTCATTCATCCTCTTTCACACCGAGTGGTATTGCTGGTTCAACTGAGGTTATAAACCATACAGTACGGTACAGTATGTGATAATCTAACAGTCATGATTTCGCATCTGAAATTTAGAATTTTTGTCTAGAAGACAATTTGAACTATTAGATACTTGAAGCAGGTGCCTTTTTTAAAATAAATAAGCAGAGTGACAGACACACCCAGGTCACATGATGATGCCAAGCTCCTATTGGTGGCTAGATGTCAGTCGCAGTTTTTAATATTCCATAAACTTCCATTAATCTTTAAAAAAGTGCAGCATTTCTGTTGTTCACTTTGGGAACATAAGGTCTAAGGTGATTTTCTCATATTCAAACTGAAGTGAAGAAACCTCTTGGACGAGAGGTGAAACATCTTCAACAAAATAAGACAGTCCAGTCGCCCTTGATGTAACTTCTTTGGACAGTACGGCTCGATGCTAAAATGTCACTGGCCACTGTAACAGGGGATAGAACTCCAGCCTGTTTGATATGGAAATGGCTCGCTTCACATGACAGTATTCCTGACAATGACACCACATCAGTGCTCTCACAAATGGGTGATAGGACTAAAAGCTGAAATTTTCAGAAATGGCTACAGAGTAACTACAACGGCAGAGTACAAGAATCCCACATCCCCAAATACCTAGTCAAGCAAATATCACACATATTTATTTTTGTACCAATAGAGCACAGCCCCTCAATGGGACACATACTTATGCGATAATGTGCTGCTTAAATATCCAATCAGGAACCATGGTGATGGTGGGTTGGATATCCAGCTGCCTCAAACAGACCTGAGTGATTCCCATTTTGGATAGACGTATAAAAAAACAGACCCAGGCATCCGTGCCAATATGCTTCATAGGAGTGGGAATATTTGCTCATCACCAGCTGCCTGTGCAGAACCAATGCAATTGTTGCTCTTTTATCCACTTCTGCCCACTTCTTTTGTAAATTTGTCTCCCAGTGATTTCCTCATCATTGTCCTTGTCCTCAACGAGAACTTTAGTAAACGTCAGAATAGAGAGATTCAAAGTTAAAGGCCTAAAATTATTATGAAAAAAAAAAGGTAAAGGAACCAATGATTCTCACTGACACTTTCATACTGCTTATGAACCCAGTCCATTTCGGGCTGGTTTGTCACTGTTTTTACACCCTGTCCCAGGTTCAAAGAACTACAGAAGACACATACAAAACCTTAACTGAACAAACTAAACACAATATACCATCCACAGTTTTCTAAGAAGAGACACATCTTATGCAAAATGTGTGAAATCGTGTTTACTGATACTACTGCAATGCTGACACGTGTACTGTGTTTCCTCTTCTTGTCAAAGTTTTACGTCAGTACG